AATTATGTAATATTAGTTGTTTAATATAAATTCAACATTTTAATATAAATCAATTAGTTAAATAACTACCTTTTTTGTATATTAATCAATATGAACATGAATATTCCAATTATTTCCATGCAATCCAATTTCTTACAAATCCATTAATTATATTTACCAATAATAATAAACCAAATAATTTCCCCCATATATTCCTCCAAACCACAACTTAACCATTTCTGCTTTCAGAAATATACAATTAATAGTATCTCAATTATTACAATTCCCTAGTTAAATACAGCTTTTTTTTCTTTTGTGTTTTAAAATCCTGAACTCTTCTCTTTTCCTCTAAATTTCCCATTGTTTGCACATACCTTTTTTGGTGAGGAAAAAGAAAAGAATTCTGTCTGCCTAATTTTCCAACCTTGCAGCAACAGCAAAGCAGTTTCACTTTCGTTTCTCAGTATAACTAGGGGGAAAAAAATCAGCACTCTTTGGAAGGAAGCAAAACAGCGGAGACAAATCAGCTGAGAGCCGGGAGGCCAATTAGCCTATGCTGGAGCTCCCGGGGCCAATAAAATTACAAAAAAACCACCGAACCCTTTGTTAAATTGCTGGCTCCCCCGCCCCTCACCCACCACTATTTATTGGCAATAAATAGTGGTGCGGAGGGGCGGGGCAAGCCAGCAATTTAACAAAGGGTTTGGCCCAGCCACCTAGAACCCCCAGAATCCCACCACTGTGTAGGCCCCTCTGGATCTTGAGGCCCTAGGCTGAAGCCTAGTTAGCCTATAGGAAAATCCGGCCCTGGATGTCATTTATTGACATTCATTGAGTTCATAAAAGTAAAGCATTATAATTAATTGCTTATAGATTATATTAGTGTAGAATATGTGGGATATTCAGCAACTGAGCAGTAATTGGCTTCTATCCTGTAAGTTTGGAGAAAGCTTAAATATTTGCAATTTTATTTATCTCAAATAAATAAAACTTAGCTGTAAGATACACGCAAGGTCATAAATGTGATTGTTTTACAAACAGAAGGAATATCAGGGGTTGCCATAAAGAAGAAGGAGTCCAGCTATTCTCCAAAGCATCTGAGGGCAGGATAAGAAGCAATGGATGGAAACTAATCAAGGAGAGAAGCAACCTAGAATTAAGGAGAAATTTGTTGACATTTAGAACAATTAATTTGTGGAACAACTTGCATCCAGAAGCTGTGAATGCTCCAACACTGGATGTTTTTAAAAAGAGATTGGACAGTCATTTGTGTGAAATGGTATAGGGTTTCCTGCCTGAGCAGGGGGTTGGACTAGAAGACCTTCAAGATCCCTTCCAACTCTGCTGTTCTATTCTGTCCTGTCCTGTCCCGTCCCGTCCTGTCCCATCCAAGACTGTACTTAGTATATAGGCAAGGGCAACAGAACTTTAGTTTTTACTTTGTTTCCTGCTGCCCAACAATAGCACTGACTGCTAATCACAGATTCTAATTTAGAATGCTACATTCTTCCTATTTCTTGTTCCTAACCAGTTTATTGATCTTTATCATCCATTTACTTTCTTTATCCCCTACCAACCTGAGAAGAAATGGGGACAATCTTACATTACAAAAATTTCATTCACCTAAATAATACATGCAGCATTTACATGAAAAAAATCACACAAATTAATAAGAAACACTGTGATCCCTTGCTAAAATTTTACCTAAGTTGCAAATGCATCCTCCTTCTTTAATATTAACTTATAAAATCAAGTGTACAGATTACTTCCTGGAAGTAATCTGTAAAATGCCTGTTTGAAGGCATGTGGTAAAGACAAGAAAACTCTCTTCCATCATACTGCCTGAAACATGCCAGGAAATAAGGTAGTCATCTGCATGGTGCTTCTGCCAGTGTATATTGCCATATCCTTGTGGTGCCACCCTATCAGTGATACCGTATTTCTCTGTGATTAAGATATGATATCTTAAGATATCTCTAGTACAAGTGTGTTTACTCATCTAGCTGGAATACTGACATTGGCACAACTATATCTTAATATTGACTTCTGCTACAGAATTGTAGTATAAGTAATTAAGAATATATATTTTAAGGATATGTTTAAAGAAATAAAAACTATTTTGTGGCCCACAAGGTTGACATAGCAGGTTAAGGCTTCTATACAAAGCTTGGAGAAAAATGATAAAGGCAGAAAATACTTTGAAAAGTTAGTCTAAGTAATATGCCTTCCTGCAGCTCCAATAATACGTGAGTATAAATGGGGAATAAAAGTATCTCTAGAGAAGGAGTTTAAAAATTAATTCTATCTACTGCAGGTTTTATGAATGTGTTAATCTAGTGTGAATATAGTAAAATTGCCCTGTATAATTTTCCTTGTGACTTCTGCTATGAGTGTGTGTGTGGGGGGGAGGTTTAAAAATCTACTTGGCTTTAGAACTAAATTTAGTTAAAATTGTTCATGTCTTAAAAGTTAATGAATCCGACTGGGAAAGTTAATAAAATTCAGTTTTGATGCAACATTTAAAACTTCTTGAGAAAAACAAACTAGTCATTTGAGGTGAATAAATGACACCGATTTTTTTTTCTTTTGTTTATTTAATGTCATGTGAGTGAAGTTCCTCAAGCTCAATAATACTTGGGAAAAATTCTTTTATTATATAGAACAGTTAGTAAAATGTTGATACCATCTTTAACAAAATATTAGTGATACAATGCATCAGATAATTATAGGAGAAAGGTTATTTCCATTTCTTATTGAGTATGGATGTCAGCAGGCATGTTAAGCTTTCAGCTTTTCAGAACAGATGAAAAGGTATTTACTTAAAACTTGATAAAAGAAATGGAAGTATATGCATATCTTGATTAACTTCTAATTGTGTAATGTAAGGTGTTTTTTTTTAAAGAACACAGTCTGTACTTCAGAAAGGTGGGAAACTTTACTGTTAAACTATTTTTACAAGTCTAATAGATGATTGATAATGAGTTTAATCTTAATTCAATATATATCAGATGCCAAATCATTTGTACTTTCTTAGCTGTTCAAGGTACAAATGCCCAAAGTCCATATGTAAGTTAAATATCTCACAAATGCATGTACAAAACTGGAATGCACAAGATTTTTCTAGATGAAGATTCTTAACCTCCAAAACATTGGAGCCCACAGTTTGCAAAGGAATGAATTGAGACAGAACAAAAACTTAAATTGTATGTAAATCATTTATATTTACAGGCAAGTGAAATTAAATATAGTCTCCGCTCCAAGTGTATTAGAAAATCAAATTTTGTAAGTTTCAGATAGCTGAAAAAGCATTTATAGATAGTTTGAGATCTTTGGAATTTTAGATTGTGTTCCTCGGATTAAAAAAAAAAGATTGAGAAATAAATCGTAGCATAAAAAAGCCTATATATATATATAAAAAAAAATTCCAAAAAAAAAGCCTATATAATTATGGGTAGAATTTGTTGACAAAGTGAAAAACAGCTGACAGAATTCAGCTAGAGTTAATTGATAGGATGAAAACAGACAACAGAGGAGACAGAATAAGAGTTTATTTGGTTCAGGAGTTAGTGAAATAAAAGAACATTATAGGGTATTGGTGATGATAGAAGGGAATGTGTTTTGATTGAAGCACTCTTGAGATTATTACAGGAAATACCATGAAGCTGATCTTCATCACAGCGATTGCTTCACTGGCCTTTAAATAAGGACACTCGTGATAGCTTTTCCAGTTCAGTAGCTGGCCAAAGCAAGCAGCCTCTTGAATTTCAGTTGAGAGTATTGTAAAATCTTACTTTTTTATGTCAAGGTGTTATATTGAGGCTGAGTACTCCAGTGATAAGGATCAAAATGGCTCCATACAGGTAGTCCTTGGGTTATGATGTCAAGTGGAACCAGAATTTCTGTAGCAGGACTCCCCAGATGAAAAAGGAGAGGAGCAACTCACGGGAATGTCTTGCAACTTTACCTGCTGACTTCCCCATTGACTTTGCTTGTGGAAAGCCGGCATGGAAAGTTGCCAATGGCAATCATGTGATTGCAGCTCACTGTGATATAATTGCAAGCTGGGCACCTAAGTACCCAGATAGCAACTACATGACTGTTGGACCACTGCAATGGCCACAATTTCATGGAGCGATCATAAGTCCCCCTTGTTCAGCACTGCTGTAATTTTGAACGGTTGCTGAATATGAGGTTGTAACTCGAGTTCTATCTGAATCAAATTGATGGTGCATTGCATATGTTTCTGCTCTTTTGTGTGCCTTCCAAATCTATAAAAATAGTAGCCTTTTATATATTATTAGATTATGGGAGCAGATAATGGGCTAGGTGATCAGAATTTACTGGGTTAAATAATCTACTGTATATCTGTGACCAGATACAAAGAATAGGAAATCTATAGATGTGTCACAATATATAGCCTTATTTGCCTTGATATTGCCCATATTTTCCGGCTTTAAATTTTTTCCCCTCAACCAAAATTTTGAATAGATAAATATAAGAGTGGGTTAGTAGTTAGTAACAAAGATAAGTGAGGACTGCTTCACTTTCTCAGAGGAGATTGGCATCCACTCCAGTGCACTGAAAGCGCAGGAGTAAAAAAGGCAAATCTCATGGATTTGAATTTCTTATGTATATAGGTTCTGCTAATATTCTAACCTTCAAGGAGGACCTGGTATAAATGCTATCTCAGTTTGTTGAGAGAATTTGATATTATGCTGAGCACAAATCTATGTCAGAGAATTTAAAATACTAGGTGTGCCACTTTTTTTCCCCTGTTGGGCTCATATGCCTTCACTAAAAGAAAAGGAAAATATTGTGAATGCTCAACTGTTTTTATTTTTTATTTTTAATCTAGAGTACCACAACTGAAAGATCCATCGGTTTCAGTGATAACAATTATATCGATTCTCTGGCAAATAAAAGAGCATTCAAGTTGATCAATGGTCCAAATCTCACTTTGGACAATACAAATACAATTACATTTCATTATTCATGTGTTAACCTGTCTCTTGATTGAACAGAATTTGGCCTGCTGGAATCCTTCAAATCCTGAATGCCTCCTGCTTGTTGTAAAGGAACTTGTACAACAGTATCACCAGTTTCAATGCAGCAGATTACGTGAGAGCTCTCGGCTCATGTTTGAATATCAAACATTACTTGAAGAACCTCAATATGGAGAGAACATGGAAATTTATGCTGGCAAAAAGAACAACTGGGTAAGAGTACAACAACAGAAGAATACTACTAGAGATTCCTTTCCATAGTAACTATAACCTGATTTGGAGGAGATGTTTGTCCTAGGTGTGTATTTCTTAAAATAGATGTCCTCAAGTTACCCTTGTTTCTTTTCTCCCTTCCTGCGGTTTAGCAATTTTATTCCATTACCTTGCTTGAACTTGTTACCTAGGTAAACAACTATGGCTAACAGTTATGTGGAATTGAACATTATGAATGCAGTAAAGCACTGACTTCTCACTGATCTTAACATTTAATAAATAGTTTTATTTTAATTAAATAAATTCTGCAAGCTGAACTGAAATGTAAGAGTCCAGAGCTGGAAATGCTTCCTTTTCTTTCCAATAAAAGAGACAGTTTTAAAAGACAACAGCTTTCAGGGTAATTTGCAAGAAAATTGTCTGTGAATGAATTGCAGATTGCATAGTAACATGTTGTATACCATTGTGAAATAGCATACAGCATGTAAAAATAAAATAATTGGAAATGATTCTGGGTATTTATTTATTTATTTATTGTAAGCAGAAATTTAAAGCGGAATAGAAACCTGTTTATTTATTTATCAAATTTAGAAACTGTCCATCTCACTCACAGAGTGATTCTTTAGTTTCAGTAAGTAGCTAAAGACCAGAGTTCTCAATCTCTGGTTGAGTAACTCCTTAAAATGATACATTAATTTGTGGACTGCTACAATGGATAAAATTATTTCATTATGTTTATATACCATTTATTTTTAATAATTAAATTTTGAGCTGCATATTCAATAAAACAATATTAAATAAAAATAAAAATAAAATTATTAGAAATAAACTATTAAATAGTTAAATTTAAAATAGTATTTTTATATGGTAAGCTTATGCATATCTGCATAATTTAAGGTTCCACACAAAGCCATTATCCTGTGACAAAGGAAAAAATATTGACTCTTGCCTAATTCATTAGAGTACAGGTCGTCCTCAATTTATGGTCATTTGTTTAATGATATTCTAAAGTTACCATGTCTCAGAAAAAGTGACTTATGACCTGTACTCGAACTGATGACTGTCACACCACCTCCACAATTTAGGACCTTTATTGCCGATTTCCAGCAAAAAACATCCATTGGGAAAGCTGGATTTGCTTAATGACTACATGATTTGCTTAATGATAGCTGTAAAAATTGTCGTAAAATGGGTCTGACTTGACTTATGATAACAACGATGATGGAAATTCTGGTTCCAGTTGTGGTCATAAATCAAGGACTACCTGTATTAGAAGTATAAAGGGAATGTTCAGGCTTTCAAGATGGTATTACTATAGTCTATATCAGTGGTCTCCAACCTTTCCGGCTTGGCAGACTGCCAGTGGTGGGGGTGTGGCGGGAGAGGGGATGGTTCTGTGCACGCTGCTTTCACAAGTGCAGCTTTGTGCACATGCTTGCCCACCATTTCTATGGCCCGGTTCCGAATCGGCTACAGCCCGACACTGGGCCATAGACCAGGGGTGGTTGGGGACCCCTGGTCTATACATTAATAAACTGTACTTTTAGTCAGATTTGTGGAGTTTGTTTCCTGACTTGCCTAACTTGAGGGGTGTACAGTCCTGTCTAAATGATTCTTCTGTTGAATGGCCAAAGTTATGAATTAAATGAATTATAATATGCAACACCTGGTGTGACTAAATTGGTAATGATTTGTCTAAAAGTGTCTGATGTCTTTCCAAAATAATATGGCAATAGAATTGCCTTGCTGTATAATGGAGCTGATCATCCACCCTTGTTTTTTCACAATGTGTAATAATCTGAGAATGCGATGATCCTTATATAGTAATTAAAAAGCTTTAATTACTCATTAGTTAATCCTTTTATAAAACCTGTATGAAACAGTAGCACATGAGATGCAATTTAATTAGAAGAATTAATGAAAAATTGTTGAAATGTTGCGAGGGTTGCAAGGGTGTTTTTTCACGAAATCTCATAAAATTTAAGGAGGGATGCAAAATCTCAAACGTTTTCAATGCTCAGATATGAGTCATAGGAGGTTTCAATAATTAAATCTTGTGACATCAGTTACCATTTGGTTCTTTCAAAAAACTGTTTCTAGGTACTGACAGAATATGCAGACTACTCAATACCTAAAAGATATGACTAGGGCATGTTTTTTTTCCCCTAAGGAAAGATACAACTGATACATCTTCTGAAATACAAGGTCCTACAAGAGCTGAATTCCATTAGTCCTGAGGAGGACTATAATGATCACTATAATTGGAAGGTGGCAATGACATAATTGGGAGATAATCTTGCTATCATTGGAGTCTGCTTTCTGCAAACACCTTGCCTGTTATGTGATTAGCTTTTACTGTGTTACACAACTTTAAAAGTTCAGTCTGTTTCAATTATGTCTCTCCAGATTATTAGGAATGCAAATGCTCAATTTAATATTGAGTTCCTTTTTTTCTGTTCTTTTAAATTGATAGACTGGTGAATTTTCAGCTCGTTTCCTTCTGAAACTGCCAGTGGACTTCAGCAATATCCCTACCTACCTTCTCAAGGTAAAATAATCCATTATTACTTGAGCTACCGCTTTCTTCAAAATAAATGAATTCCAATGCTTCCTGGTTTTTTTTCTGTAACTCCTTTCCATCCCCTCCCCTTTCTTCTCTTTTCTGTCTTCATTCCCCCCCTTTCTTTGAAACTTCATAAAGCTTGTTAAACAGTTCTGCATCTTTCTTTTGTCTGTACTGTCTATTTTCATACGCCTTACCTTGCAAAAATTGAATTCAGTCTAAGTATCAGAATAAGTAATAAGCATTACATGTAACTTTCCCTAAAAAATCCTTCAGTAGTTTTCAAAGTGACATTTAATATCCAAATAGACTTAAATGATTCTGTTTAAGCCTTTGAAACTTTGTCAGTGAGTCAACAAGCTAACTGAGGAGGAGGTACACATACTTTTCAGTAGTTAGGAAAGCCGTTGAATTCAAGCCAGAGACATAGATGCTATGAGGTTGTTAAATTCTTCTTAGGGAAATGAAAAATGAATATATAGTGTTCACATATGTATTAAATTCTGCTATGTCTAATGTGCTGATATGAAGGGAAAGAAAAAGAAAAAGATATGAAAATTCTCAGTGTACCTCTCTATCCACCCAAGCAGTAAGAATGTCTTTGAAAATGCTATTAGGTAGTGTAAACCGTCTTTACCAATATAAGTAGAACAGTATGGTATAATTTAATAATAAATAATAGAATAAAAATATATAAGGAATCAGAGATATCTTAGGACTTAAATCCTAAATAATTGAAGGAGAAAGATGACTTGAAATATTTTATTAAATATTATTTTTTATTATTAACAAGTTGCAGTTTTACATCCACTTTTCCAGATTAAACTCTTTTAAACTGATTAATCTGTACCTTTCAGTAGGGTTTTGTGTGTGTGTATGTGTGTAGGGGGAAGGGAAATTGTGTTGCTAAAATGCATTACGGTAATCATCAGACAAAGCACCCACTCATACCTGTGTGTATACTTAGAGTTAGGAATGTGCCTTAAATTTAACTCAATTCTCACTACTTTAATTCTCTTGACAAACATTATTCCTTCTAGTTTTCATGAATAACCCATACATCTGTTAGAGAAATTTCAGGAAAACATCCATTCACTTCATTCACTGTTTTCTACTTTTTTAACTATCCCCATTCTTGCCAAACATGACCCTTGATATAATCCAGCATTTCTTTCATCACTTGCCCAAAGTATGTGAGTTTATTTTTGCTCATGCTCATTTCAAGTGAAACTTTACTTGGCCTAGGATTTTCTTCCTGTGGTCCAGTACCTATCCATTCTTTACATTCTGAAATCAGTAAGTAGGTACAAGTGCACTTTGTTAGAATGTTTGTTGTGGTCTTGGGGTGCCAAATCTGTAAAAATTAATTAGCTTCAACAAGTTTTAAATACAAGCTAATGTTGTTACCACTTGCTTACAGATATTAATTTTCTAGGGTGTTTACAGGGGAAAAAATGAACAGACTCAGGAACAGTGTTTGACCCTTTAACATTTTAAAGATATAATTATGTAATTTGTTTTGGAAATTAGTTAGAAATTAGTAGAATCCATTATACAGACAGGTGTGATCCATGTCATTAAGAAAGCCATCATGCTGAGGGATCATTACATATTTGAATCTTGTTTAGGAATGGAAATTCTGTAGTATGAGAGAGTGAGTTTAGTATGATGAGTTTTACATTGTCTGAATTGAAGAGGATCTGTTACAATTGAAAATTAATATCTAATAGATCTGTAACTAGCAGGTTTTCTAGTTGGCATAGATATGTGTTTTTGTATGTAACATTTTGTATGAATTAATCTTAGTGGAATCTCAGATTATTTATGTTTTATTTTTTAGACTATAATGGAAAAAAAATAATATTTTTCATATTATGTCCACAATACAGTCATAGATAATATAGTAACCTCAAAATCTCCAGTTGGCACCTATGGAATATTTAATTTAACTAAAATGAAATATAATCCTTGCAAAATTATCCTTCTTATATTGCCTTGCATGAACATTCCATATATCCACCCCATAATCTTGCTTCTACAGTTGCAAGAAAAAGTATGTGAACCCCTTGGGATTACGTGGAGTTTTGCATTAATTGGTCATAAAATGTGCTCTGAACTTCATCTAACTCACAACAATAGAAAAACACAGTCTGCTTAAAATAATACTACACAAACATTAGATGTTGCCATGGTTTAATTGAACATAACATGTGAACATTCACAGTGCAGGGAGGAAAAAGTATGTGAACCTTTGGACTTAATAACTGGTTGACCCTCCTTTGGCAGCAATAACCTCAACCAAATGTTTCCTGTAGTTGCAGATCAGACCTGCACAACGATCTGGAGTAATTTTGGACCACTCCTCTTCACAAAAGTGTTTCAGTGTAGCAATATTCTTGGGATGTCTGGTGTGAATCGCTCTCTTAAGGTCATGCCACAGCATTTCAATCGGGTTGAGATCAGGAGTAAAATAGTAAAATACTAATAATTGCTAGCTATTTTGTAACAAAGCAAAAAATTCAGCTTATGGAAAAATAAGTATTGTTCAAATTAAATTTCTCTCAATCCCTGAACTTTTCTGTTACCAAGTTGTCAGCCTTCGAGGGTAGGCCAGGCCAGGAAACTTGTCAGTGCAAAGATTACAGGAACTCTTCTTTATTATTGCAGGGTTTAATAACAAAATTTAAAAAGCCTGCCAGAGTTTCCCTTTGTCCCCTCTTATACCAAAGAGAATCAGGGTGGCAATATTTTGAATTTCTTTGTCTCCTTTTCCTTTTCCAGGACAATGTTGTTGTTTCTCCTCCTTAATGGATCCTGCATTCTGTTATCAAAATTATCTCCACATTCCTCTATTTCAGTTATGCAAAAAATGCTCTTATTTCTTGAGCTGGGAAATTTCTTCTGTTCTACTAAAAAAATGTTTTCAGTTTGTATAAAATTCTAGACAGATGGGAAAAATCATCTTAGCTGACTGATGCCTCTCTGATGATACATAAATCATCATACTGAAGGAACCCTAGGGCTGTGAGTTGCTTTATCTCAAATGGAGATTACTGCAGGACAAGATCCAAATCAGTTTTTTTTTTTCAGTTTTAGCATTCATGGTGCACTTTGCAAGAGAACATTAACTTCAACTAAAATCATTCTAATAATACCTATTTATACGATGTGTCTACTTTGGGTTTTAATAAACTAGATCACAACACATCGGACTTGTTAAATCTCATCATGTATTCAGAGCTCTGGAAAGGGGCTTGCACTGTATTAAACGGAGAAGGAAAATAAGTGATCCTATTCAGGTTTTGATTCTGTCCTGATGATTGATTACTTATCACCAACAGAACAACAATATGGCCTGAACAAACATATTGAAGTACAGCTGCAAACAGCTACTTGAGGCATAAGTTTAAAAGGTCCAAAACACAGTTGAAATTAAATGCTGCTAATACCTTTGGAACATTATAAATATGGGAAATACGTGAATGAAGAGGTTGGTCCCCATATATGACTGAGATGACATTCTAAAAAGTTTTATAATGATCACAGTAATAAACTGTGGCTGAGCCACAGTTACAACTTTATCTGTGGAAGGTTGTTTAGTAGACAATATCATTCCTTAACTGGATCCCTACCACTTAGGAGTTTCAGTCCCAGTGTGTAAAAAGAGCATTGAGGAAATCTATACAATATTCTTGTCATTGTGGCAATACGATATTTGAATCTAAATGTTTTCAACGTACAGCATACTGATTCTCATATCACTTGTAATTCCTTAGTTCACTTTAATGATGCCAAATCTTCCCAGTAATGTGGTTTTCTAATTGCTTCACTTTTCTTTAAACAAGAAAGGCAATGAATACAGGAGCTATTGTCCATACTGATTAGGGAGTCACATATTTTATGTGGCAAAGAATCACATATACTGTGTCCTTGAAGCTCAGAGAAAACTTAATTTTTTAAAATATATGAACTTGCCTTAAGTAACAACAACAAATAACATTACTTTCTTGCTTGTAGTGATTGCTGTGCCTGATTAATCAGTGAACATTTCTGTCAGAATTTATCTTGCTAATAACAATATTAAGCCTAAAGCATCCAAAGCATTTTTTTGCAAATATTGTCTGATCAAAAGAGTAGGAATAATAATGTTGGCATCATTTGTCCAAACCATTAGGAGTTTTGATTGACTTTTTTGAAACTCACAAATGGCAAAAATGCTATGTCTTTGTCTTTTGTATGATTGGAAAATCAATGCAACGTTTTGCTAAATGTTGTTCAATGTGTGTGTGTGTATATATAATTTGAAAAATGTTTAGCAAAATTATATATATAAAATTTAGCAAACATTTACATATACAGGTGGTCTTCAATTAACAACGTTAATTGGGACCAGAATTTCCATCATGAAGCAATGTAACTGTAAAGCTCAAAGTCATGTGTCCAGATTGATTAGCAATGGCAATCCTAGCCTATTGCTATTATTAAATGAGGTTTTCAGATTGTTAAATTAGGACCCCCTCACAACCTCCTGCTGGTGTCCAACAACAAAAGTCAGTGAAAAAGCTAGCAGGAAGTTCCAAGACCCTGGCAGTTTACAAGCAGGCAGGTAGGTAAATGGCTGCTGTGAGGTGAGGAAAAATGCATAACGGGTTAGTGTGTTGTGGTGCAAATGCAGCAAGGCTTGGAGTGACTACTATCAGGCAAGGGCAGGTTCAAGAGTCCCATGAATGCAGTGAGCCTTTGGGTGGCTGTTGCTGGGCAGTGGAGGGGAGGTCGTGTGACGGTGTACAAGTGATCGGTATAGTGCGGCACAAAGGCAACAAGTGGCTACTGTTGAGCAGGGGAGGGTGCATGAGAGGCTGGCATGGCATATATGCCACAAGGCTTGAAATGGCTTCTGCCAGGGCATGTGGTAGAATGTTATCTGAATTCCCAGGAGGGAGAAGCCACATTCCAGATCAGCAAGAGAATGTATTACAGCAAAT